CTAGTCAATTTCACTTTCGGGTTCTTGAACCATGCACTGTTTGCAAGCCAAAGTTACACTTCAATAACATTTTGAATTAACTTTGTCCAAGTAAAATAAAATGACTTACCTTAGCAGTGCCAGTCTGAGAGCCATAGAAAACCTTCACCCCAGCAACATAAACCTCCTTCGTCTTTGGCATTGTATATCCATTTATCAGCACATCTTGTGTTACTTTAGATGGAGTTAGCTTCTCAGTGGATTTTTCATCCTACAAAACAATTGTAGTATCCCAATCTTACCCCTTTCAAACTCATCTTAAGCTAGTTTTCACATAAAACGCAAACTACCTAGTCAGATCTTCAGCATGGTTGGTGAGCTCTAGCAAATGTAACAGTGATAAGTTTTAGAGTTACCACTGGCCCATAAAAACAATCAACCTAGCATCCTCTCATTTAAATAAGCCACGTTACTGTAATCTGATCTCACACTATAGGGTGTGACTTGATCACAGCAGGTGTCTGAAGACATGCCTTCCTCCCATCCCACATATCTACACACTTACCCACAATACACAACTGAATATTTTATGAGGGAATTTTTACCCTCTTGACAGGCGTAATCCTGCTCCTAGTGAAATCATGGAACTTTTATCATTAACTTCAATGGGAACAGGACTTACTTCTCAAATATCAGGTGTTAGCAGCTGGCAGAGACAGGATTTGAAAAAGTGCTGGCCCAGTCCAGAATGGCAAATCTTCTTCACATAATAAACAGAGGTGATTATGTGAGATCAGTTCACATGTCACTTATAAGGCAGTAAAATAGTCAACAGGTATGTTTTTGTTATATTTCTAACACACGTCAAGTACTATGATTTTCGAGGATGCCAAACCACATTTAAACTTTAAGAAGTTAGAACTTGCACATGGCCTAGAGTGGACTATACTGAAATGAAATGCCACACTCCCACACCAAAGGAGGATACATTTCAGTAGTGGGTTAAAGGATTACTGTTGTATACTGCCAGTTGAAAGAATATAAATGCTAGAATTGTGAGTCTCACTTACCTGCTTTTTGGCTTTGGTGGCAATGAACTGAAAGCAGATCCAAATACCAATGCCAAAAGCCGCACAAGAGTAGATGTAAAACCTGTTTAGCCATATGGACATCAGATGAGTGTAGAAGTAGCTCCAAGTATCCGCTGATGCATCTAAAATGATAATAAATCATGACTGCCCTCTTCCAACTCAGCAAAAGCAGCAGCAGTTTCCTTCATCATCAATATAGCGGCAGAAACAGCATCCTACACCTCTCCCGTTGCTCACTGCTCCCAATCACACACACCTTCCCTTTGTGGAGTTTAAGGGTACATCTACACTACAGGGGGGAGTCGATTTAAGATACGCAAATTCAGCTACGTGAATAGCGTAGCTGAATTCGACGTATCGCAGCCGACTTACCCCGCTGTGAGGACGGCGGCAAAATCGACTTCTGCGGCTTTCTGTCGACGGCGCTTACTCCCACCTCCGCTGATGGAGTAAGAGCGTCGATTCGGGGATCGATTGTCGCGTCCCGATGGGACGCAATAAATCGATCCCCGAGAGGTCGATTTCTACCCGCCAATTCAGGCGGGTAGTGTAGACCTAGCCTAAGATACATTCAGCTGCCTGTAATTAACACCCTTGAACCCTGGCTGGAAATTAACACCCGAAAGCCAACATTAGCTGGCTCAGAGGTGCTTCCCCAGGAGCACCACTGGAGAAAGGCACAGCAGTAATTCAGGGTTACCTTTATATTATTGTTTTCTACATTTCTCTGATACTAACAGATTTCACTCTGGGTGTTTCCACCAGAGACATGTTCCAATCTCATTTCTATTTGTAAAGCCAACCTGCACTCGAGTGGTCCCAGCAGCCCTAAGGTTTCAAGATATTGGTCACAGGGGTCACCCCTTCCAGGCTTGGCACTAATTTGACTTCTTTTTAAAAGAATAAGCAATTGAATGTGTGTTGCACGCAGACCTAACAGTAGCAAGCAAGTGAGCCCGTTCCCACCTTGCTGGGAGCAGCAGGACAACAGGTTATTCCTGATGTGTTATGGTTAAATCAGTTTTCAGAGTAGCAGCCGTGTTAGTCTGTATCCGCAAAAAGAACAGGAGTACTTGTGGCACCTTAGAGACTAACAAATTTATTAGGCATCCAAAGAAGTGGGCAGTAGCCCACGAAAGCTTATGCT